TCCATATTTCAGTTAATCCTGATGTTATCACCATAACTGCTTTGTATTCTTCGTCTCCACTTCAATCCAATTTTAAGAATCTTGTCATTATTATTATGTATACATGAAGTTGTGTTGTGTGAACACCCTAGGATAATTAACCTCTAACTTAAGATTAGTTGCTTACCTATAAAGAATTGCCTCTGTAGTTAGAATTTGACTTACGCCTCACGCAATTCAAAGAAAAACAAATGGTGGACCATACTTCGAGACAAGTAATAACATGAGCTTGCAAGAAATAATAGAAATGCGGTGCCAGGAAATTGAAACCTTAAGAATGGACTAGTAACCATGGCTAAAATCTCGAACCCTATCAAGAATCAAATTTTGAATGAGTCTTACCATCTTTGTGGAAATAATCGGCACAACATTGACTTCAGAATGAAAGGAGGTAGAATCCAAGAGGATTTGGAGCTTGTGGAAAGGAAACTCAACTTTATGAAGACACCCTACTCCGACCTCATCTTAAAAATAGATTCGTTACTCGTACCTTAGCAATTATCGATAGTTACCAAAAGAAGGAGATGACTTACCCACCAACGGAGCATGTTTTCAGTTTAAGGGGGATAGACAAGACTCCATGACTTCAACGAAATGTAGGACGCAGTGGCGCGATCAACTTGCAGATAGGATAACAAGTCTGATTTTAAATGAGAAGAGCCAAGAAAAATTAGAACTTCCACGCATAGTATACGAATATGCAGATGTATTTCCTACGGAATTACCGGGATTGCCACCAACTCGGGAGGTAGACTTTAGTATTGAGCTACAACCTGGAATTACCCCAATATCCATGGCCCCATGTCGCATGGCACCTGCAGAACTATGAGAATTAAAGACACAACTACAGGAGTTGCTCAAGAAAGGATTCATTAGGCCAAGTACTTCACCATGGGAAGCATCTGTGTTGTTTGCTAAAAAGAAGGATGGGTTGTTAAGGCTATGCATCGATTACCGTCAACTCAATCGAGTCACGATTAAGAACCGATACCCACTCCCAAGGATTGATGACCTTTTTGATCCACTTAGAGGCTCAAGGTGCTATTCAAAGATCGATCTCAGGTCATGTTACCATCAACTACGAGTCAAGGAGAAGGATATACCTAAAACTGCCTTTCGTAGTAGATATGGCCACTATGAGTTTGTAGTAATGCCCTTCGGACTAACCAATGCACCGTCAGTATTCATGAGCCTAATGAACAAGATTTTTAGACCATATCTTGACCAGCTTGTAGTAGTGTTCATTGATGGCATCTTGGTATATTCAAGGTCTGAAGAAGAGCATGAGCAACATTTAAGGATTGTCCTTCAAGTTCTTAGGGATAATCAGTTATATGCCAAGGCAAGCAAATGTGAGTTTTGGTTGAATGTAGTGAAATTCTTAGGGCATGTAGCATCGGAGAGTGGGATTACGGTGGATCCAACCAAGGTGGAGGCAGTATTAGATTGGAGACAACTGAAGACTATATCAGAAATCCGCAGTTTCTTAGGATTGGCCAGTTATTACCGAAGGTTCATCCAAGATTTCTCCAAACTAGCTAAACCAATGACTCGTTTGACGAAAAAAGGAGTAAAGTATGAGTTGGACGAAGCTTGCAAAAAATCCTTCCAAGAGCTAAAGAAGAGGTTAACTAGTGCGCCAATTTTGACCATCCCAGAACGGGAAGTGGGGTCCACTGTGTATTGCGATGCGTCTAAAGAAGGATTAGGTTGTGTGCTCATGCAAAATGGAAATCATGTTGTTTTAAGCCCACTTGAGGGTGGCAAATCTACGTTTTAACCTACTTGCGAGTAGCATCTTCAAACCATTTTCGAAAACAAACCTGAGATGTTTTGTTCCAAATTGAGTGATTTAGTCTATACTTGTATGTTACGCGCATCACATAGTAATTTTAGATTAAATAACCAGAATAAGAATACATGTGTTTTAAAAAATAACATATCATGTTAGTAGAGGCCGATCCTTTGATCGGGTGAGCGGGGGTGCTCATTTCAGGACCTTCCCCTCTCGTACCCAAGTTCCTGAGCCGAGGCAACTTTGGTGGTGACGGACACGTGGCCTTAGGCATGAGTCAGGGTTTCCTAAACTTCCCAAAACAAAATATTTAGGTGGGGACTCTAAAATCTGACAAAGTAGTCCATGTTTGGCACTTTTTATTCAAAATTGATTTTTCAAAACCCATTGCTAGATTCAGTTGTGTCGGTGATTTATCAGTCTTACATTGCACTTTGTGAGATTAGATTTCAAACCCTGACAGGAGTCTGAACTGTAGTAGCATGAACCCAATTCACGCCCCTCCGAAAGGGAGGGGCGTGAGAACGGTCGGGCGCGTCTACAGAGACCCGTAGTGCGAGCTCTATGAATCTCTTAAGTTGTCTTAATTAATTTGAAGATGAGATAAGGAGACCTTATTGATCTTTATATGCACTCATTTTTGAACTAGAAGACTAAGGAGGTAAAGCAAATCAAAAAAATCGACCAACACCATTTTTAACCAATTAAACCATCCATATTTGGTATTTTTTTTAACACAGATCAGTCCGTGTGATTTTTAATTGTTTTTTTAATTTTCGCTTCCCAGTGTCAGTTTAAGAATTTTTGCACGATTAAATTGAACAAACCACTTCAACATATATTGTATTTATGATATATAATATTATAATATATTTAGAAAAATTATTAGTCTCAATTAATTAACCCTATCATCCTTATAACCTAAGTTAATATACCCTTATTATATATAATCTTAACTCTAACTCAATATTCTTAAAACCTTAGTATTTATTATTATTTTTTTGTTTGTATTTTTTGTTAATCTAGAAATTGTAAAATATTTATTAAATGGATAGATATGATATGTTTGAAATGGTTGATAAATGGCTAATTCAATATTTTTCATAAAGGAGTGACTATAGTAAAAAATTTATTAAATTTGAAATATTTGAAACCGATTAAATTGCACTAAATCAAACCAATCCAATTCGTGCGGCTTGCTGCAGTTTGATAGGAGAAGTAGCCTGTATTGGTATAATAAAACCGATATTATCAGTACCGAACCGATTATATCTCTAACTAGAATAGAGATTAATAAGTAGCTTATGAAATGGATCTAGCATGATCCAAGCCCTAGCCCAAGCCCAGAAGAGTTGGCCTACCTCAGTATATTAAAGTCTGGCCCAACCTTATAATGACCTAGATGAGAAAGGTTTGGTTGGTCCGCGGCGCACCTACACTATGAAGTTGGATTAATTATTAATCTTAAGAAACAAAAAATATAATACGGGGGAGTTACGGGTTGGTCCTATGGACCGGTCTTATTACCCAGCAGATCCTACCCAAAAAAATCAAACAGTGTTTTTCCATTTTTACCCCTAGACTTAACACTGCAAATTTATTACTGGTTTAAACAAATTTATCACTGATTTATCACTGGTTTAAACAAATTTATCACTGATTTATCACTGGTTTAAACAAATTTATCACTGATTTATCACTGGTTTAAACAAATTTATCACTGATTTATCACTGGTTTAAACAAATTTATCACTGATTTATCACTGGTTTAAACAAATTTATCACTGATTTATCACTGGTTTAAACAAATTTATCACTGATTTATCACTGGTTTAAACAAATTTATCACTGATTTATCTCTAGTTTAAACAAATTTATCACTGGTTTATCACTAATTTAAACAAATTTATCACTGATTTAAATAGATTTATGATTTGAATCCACTTGAACTGAAGAGAAGCCCATATGCCGATCAGGAAGGTAGCCTCGGGGCAGACAAAATAAGAAAAGAGGGCGAGAGGGGGGGAATTGAAGGTGGAGATAAGAGAGGAAGTGGAGCTGAAGAAGAAGGAGATCTAAGCAGAAATGAGGGATAACCATAAGGCAAAGAAGGAAACGGGCTTGAAGTTGAGGGAATCGAGGATGTAGGCGACCATGAATCCCAGTGTCAATGCAGCGAAGACAGGTGTGCCACTGAGGTCGAGGAGAAAGGCGGCGCAAGGTACTAGGGCAACGGCGATCCTAGCATTGTGGGCGAACAAAGAAGTCTCTCTCTCTCTCTCTCTCTCTCCCAAGCTCTCCCCTCTCTCTACGGGAGCACTGTCGATGCTGATGCCGATATCAACACCGAACTACCATCACCGAGCGGTGACAACGATTCTTGCTTCTCTTTCTGACGCGGTGACAACGATTTGCAGCAGTGGAACAAATCTAGATTCAAATTTGAATCAAAGGTCAATCACAGATCAATTGAAGCTCCACCTAATCAGTTCAGAGCTCAATCGATGCTCAACCAATTCAAAGATGGGTTCAATGATATGGGTTTCCATGTTCATGGTTCAACAATCTGGGTTTTCATCTCCAGATCTGAGTATAAAAACATGAGGGTAAAAATGAAATAAAAAAAAATGTTCAGGACCTATAGGTAAAAGAGTATCCATTAAGAATCTGTAAGGTAATAACCCTTGAAAATAGGATTGGCTTGTAAAAATCCCAAAATATAAATGGGATATTTATATTGGGCTTTAAGCCTGCTATAAGCTCTAAAAGCCATAATAGGCCAACTGGAAACTGACAACAACCATGCCCATTGTCTATTATATATTACAGAAAATGGGATTTTAACCACAAACATTCTCATAGTTCCAATGTCTCAAACTAAAATTTTTAATTTTTTGAGTTTAAATAATTGAAAATTTTTCTATTCACTAACTCTTATTTAAACATTAAAAAAATTCAATATCCTTGATTTATGACTCAAAAAGAAAGTGATTTAATCCATTTCAAAATTTAAATTTGAGGGCCAATATTTATGACAAATAATCTATTAATTTAAATTTAAAGTTGGCACAATATAAAGTTAAAATTATAACAATCTATCCCATTATCTTGATTTCAAAAAAATAACAAGCAATAAAATAAGTGTGTCAATTGCAGAAAAAATGTATATCAAAACTTCAAACCCACATCAAGTGTGCATATTTGATTATTAAAATTCAACTCAACACAAAAATAGCCCTGGGCTTACATTTAATAAATAGCTATAAAACAAAAATGGAGTCTCAGCTCCGAGTCCTCCCAAGTTAGTGCCTTGCAGAGGTATATCACCGGTACCTGAAATGGTTTCCCATAGCCCAGTAGAGATATACTACACAACATATGGACCATGACAAAACTAAAGAGAAGTATGCTCATGCCATGCTCATGATAAAACAGTTTATCTCTCATTTTATAAAGCATGCACTGCTGAGATGCAACAACAGATATAAAACCATTTTCATTTTAAACCATATCTGTTACATAAATACAAGCTCTGTGAATCTCTAGGTGAGTGTTTGTAAGTAGGCCCTAATGCACTACCACTGTCATTTTTACCAGTAAACTGGAAGGCTCGATACCTAACCGCGCGATTTTACACCCCCTACCTAGATTCTCTAAGTATTCATCTTTTTACAAATGAGGAATGTGGTTCAATTTACCTAAGTCTCATGCATTTCTACAACAAACATGGCTATCCTCCACCGATAGCCCAAAACAGATATTTCTAAACAGATATTTAAACAATTAAATTCCACAAATTCCGATAAATACAATCTATTCCAAATCTCATCAAATATGAACAACTACACTAGTTTTCATATCACAATCACGTCCGGTAACCTCTTAAGATCCATTTCTAACCGTGTCGGTTTTATTCCAACAGATACATTAAGCAAAATAATACCGTTAATGCCTAAGAAAATATCATTTTCTTTCCAAATTCATTGTCCAAGCATTATTCAACTATGACATCTTATTTTGATCAAAATCTCCAAAAGTTAAACATAATTCCTTTGTTTTCTTTAAAAATGTTCTTTTGGTTACAAACCGGTAAAAATTTCAAACTCGATTGAATCGAAGTCCGTTTTTGTTCAAATTTAAAACATAGCTCTTTCATAACCTTGCAAACATATTCCAAGTTTACACTTTCGCAATTTGGGCATCAACCCTTTATTTTTCTCAAAATTTCTCTTCTAAGCAAATAAATCACAAATTTTTCAAAAATTTTAATTAAATTATATACAATTCTAAGCTCCATATAATCCAGTAAAAATGCATAAAGAAGTGTAGGAAAAATCTCTACCTCAAGCCAAGAAGCTTTCAAAATTTTTGGCAACAAAAATTAAATCTGTTTGGAACCAAATAACGTTTTTTCTGCTCTCTACGTTTTGATCCAAAGCACTAGGGGTCATAAATGACTTACACTAGATCAAATCCATGAAAGACCAACATTGGAACCCTTTTTTTCTTTCTCCCTCAGGGCAAGAACACCAAGAGTTGAATAAAAAATCTATTTGGTTACTTTACATAAATATTTTCTTTTCTTTTTGTTTAACTAAACAAATATCTAATCATGTATATATACACACCTATATATATATATATATATCAATTAAAATATATTTTAACATCTTTAATGACAAAAGTAAATATAATATTTTCTCACCACAAAATATATTTCGTTTAATGGTACACACCATAAATATTCACAACTCTTTTCTGGTAATCAAATAATAATAATAAAACTACAACACTATTACAAGGTTACTAACGGGTCACAATTCAATCAATTGGGTCCAAAATGAACGTAGTTTAATAATTTAAAATAAATCCCCAACTGAGATTAAAGTATAAATTCAATTTGATTCAACTCGTTACAGTCGAAGCTCCAAAACTCGCAAATATTGATACAAAAAAACTAGTAGAAAAAAAGATTTTCTTACATTTTATCAAACTGGTAGTAGGCAAGAAAATAAAATGCTGGTTAGGTCATTTGAATAGCGACAAATAGGTTAATAATGCAAGTAGAAGCAATTACAATGAAATCAAGATGTTATTTTTCAATTATTACATGGTTTTTTTTTGACTAATTACACTTTACCCACCTCGAATTCAAAATGCTACACTTTACCAACTTAGTCTGCTCTAATATTTGCCCTAAAGATGAAATAAATCCCCTTTCCTTGTCTCTGTTTCTGTAAAAAAATGATTTCTATGCCTTAATTGAAATTTTCAATAAATAAATAAAGATAAGGTTAATTTTTTTTTTTTTTCTTTTTTTTTTTTTTTTTAAAAGAAAAAAAAAAAAAAAAAAAAAAAAAAAAAAAAAAAAAAAAAGTGGAACAAAACCTATGATTCGATTATGGTTCATTATTGAGCAAAGTTTTTCAACAAACAGTTTTTGGGCATGTATTGCAAACATTGAAAATTTGAAGTAACAGATCATTAGAAGAAGTTGTGCACAACACAGGGTTGCTCTCAGTGAGGCATTTCATCGAACAACAAAAAACCATATTACAAATATGGACAATTCATGCTTTTGCGAAGCAAAAATGTGATCAATCAGAATAAAAACAAGGCAATCGAAGAGTTGATAGACAAGAGAGGCAAATCGTACCCGAGAGAGAGTCGATTGGGAGGTGAAAACTTATTCAAACTTTGGTTTGTCTTCGTACAATTGTGTTTACGAAGGTGATGATTTGAACTTTGGTTTGTCTTCGTACAACGATTTGAGAGAGGGTGAGCCGGAGAGGGAGAAAGAAGACGCCGATGAGTGAAAAGAGAGACCCCGGTGAGGAAGGAGCGACGTCGATGGTGAGGGAGAAGTGAGTGACGACAGTAGCTATGTGAGCAAAGCAAAGAGAATGTCTGTGTGAGTGTGAACCTAGCCCTAAAATGTGCCCAAAAAAAAAAAATAGAGAAACACACACACATACACACACAGACATATAGGGGTATAATAGTAATTTCAGTTTGGGGGAAACAGAGACGAGGCCTGGGCCGGAGTTGGGGAACGTATCACCGTCTCTGGCCCAAAAATTGTCAAGGATTCATTTTCGAACACCATCCTCAACCCGTCAGGGGTATTTTTCGAGAACAAATCATTCTCATCGGGATCGGGGGGCCGAGTCCCCATTGGGTCGGGTTCAAATTGCCATCCTTACTTAAAATAGTTGAACTTGGCGCCGAAGAAATTGGCTCAAATGTTGCCATACTCAACTTGTGCCAAACTAAAGGGAAGTTTGGGAAATTATTATAATAGTCAAAAGTTTAAAAAATTATTTAAAAAGTTAAATATTTTATTTCCTCTCTACTTTTTACACATTTTTTTTTTTATATAGAAAATCAAAAAAATATTTCAAACTTACTAAATTTTTTTACCTCATATTTTAACCAAAAATACAAAAAATTAAAAGTTGAGTTTGTTATATGGCAAGCAAGTGACTTGAAATAATATATTTACTTTTAATTCTAAGTGAAAATTTTTGTTACTTTAATAGTTATGTGCATCTTAACTAATCCCGAAACACACGTAAAGTGTATCCTTCACATAAATCAGCTCCATCTATGCAAAACACCTCCTCAACGTAGATTAGACAAATCTCAAGTAAAACCTACGCATGTGGCCCTAAAGAGTTGAATTTGCCAACTGGAAGGAGCACACCCACAGACCCCAAGCTGCAACCACTAAGCCAACCCTTGGAATTGTTAGGTAATACTTAAAATATAACATTAATGGCAACACAATCAAAACTTCATTTGAGTGTAGTTCAAAAATTACTTAATTAACATGATTTTAATTATTTTACCTTTAACTTTTAAAATTGTTACTATTTAAATTCAAAAATAAAATTTTAATTAATTGTTTAAACTCGTGCATAACACTGATTTTACGCTAGTTGTAGCATAAATACATTCAATTTTTTTATTTTTCTTTTTTAAAATAAGATCAACACCTAATTTTTTTTCATAAAACATTTTAGATTATAATAGTAAGATGAAAGGGAGAAAGAGACATGATAGATCCAAGAGCAATAACAGAATAATCAAGACATGGTTAGCTTAGTGATTGAAACGCTCCCTTATCGGGTGTGATATCTGAATTTAAATCTTAATATGGTATATTACACTTTCCCCTTCCATTACTCTCTCTTATTGATTGTATAAATAAAGGCTCACTTGATATGGTTTGCGTAGATAGAAGCCAAGTTCAATCATATTTTCATAAATGTTTTGATCCAAATCAATTAGATGTAACAATTATCTTCTATCATTTTCTTTTTTTTCTCTGTAACAACTTTGTTGCGTAATCCAATGGTCCAAGTTTAAATTTAAACTTGAGCCATTAAATGTAAAAAAATCACAAAAAAATCATTACAAAAAAATAATGACAGAGGATTCTAATTTCATACATACATGGCACCATGTTGGACAATATTTGTGCATCAACGAATGCATTAGGATACACAATATTTGTTGCTTCTCGAATTGCTCTAAAACCGAGCATACAGGGTAATTTCAAATGTCAGAAAAAGAAATGAATCAAAATTCTTAACACTAATTGGTTTCAAACCAGTTTAAACACTATAAAAAAAAGACATAACACTAATTGGTTTTAGTTGAGATGTCAAAATTTGCCAAATGTATGATTGTTTCTCTAATTTTCCCAGTTTCCACACATGATGCAGTGGTTACTGTTTTGCTTCTTTTATTCTTTTGTTTTATTCTTTTTAGGAAGAGGGTGTTTCATAGAATATATCATGAATGCAACAGCAGTAATATAATTTTATAATTTATTAATAAATAATAATAATAATAATAATAAAAGAGCCCAAATACAGGACACAGATTCTGGCACAACAATGTTCACTAGGGAGGACAAAGGTTTCATACCCAGAACATTATTCTTAATACTTCATACACTTCATATGTAAGACTAGTTGTATTAATATTCCAATTTCACCCCTGTGAAATCAGTTTCATTTATTTAATCAGTTTCACCCCTGTCCAAATACAGGACACAGATTCTGGCACAACAATGTTCACTAGGGAGGACAAAGGTTTCATAGCCAGAACATTATTCTTAATACTTCATACACTTCATATGTAAGACTAGTTGTATTAATATTCCAATTTCACCCCTGCGAAATCAGTTTCATTTATTTAATCTAGCAAGTGGGGATAGAGACACCACAGGTGTTGGCAATCCTCTTGGCATTGGGAGAGTTGACATACTGACTCAGGTTTGGATCTTTGCTGTACCCACAGAGACAAGGCCTCTGCTCCCTCAGCTTCACACAACACGTCGTCGACGGCGGTTTCGATGACGTGATTGCATCGATGCACGGGCTCAGCTCCGTCGGGTTACACGTCACTGCCTTCACCACGCTCGCTTCCCCTAGGAGTACTGCCACCACCACCGCCATGGCGCACAGCACTGCAAGGCTAGACTGTGTCTTCATCTTCAACAAAATAACCAAAAGGTCACAGAAAGAGAGAGATCGTGTAGAGGGAGTGTGAATGGGTGCCCCTTTGGCCAATTCTTGATGCACAATTTGTAGAGGCCTCAGGGCTGCTTGACCAAGTCTTTGGTTCCTTTGGTCTAGGTGGGGGTCCTTCTGGTTGAATGGGATTTCGTCACTTTACACATAGGCTTTGCTTGATTTGTGGATAGTTATAGTTGGCGATAAATAATAAATAATGAATATTCCGACTATATCTTTATTTCGGTAAATCACACCGACACTTCTAAAGTTTCTATACAAATCGCTTCTCACGTTTAAAAATTTACATTTTTCTTTCTGAAGTTTGTACTTTTATTATAAATTATTTCTTAAATTATTGGTATCATGTCTTAAAATTTTTTAAATAACAATCTTGTCCTTTTTTTTATTATTTTATATAATTTTTTTAAATATAATGATATAGTTTAATGATGACATTTCACTTTAAAACAAAATATCCATAAAAATAATTTATATTTACAATAATATCACTATCATAACATTTTTATGTTATTTTTTATATAAATTTTTACATATGAATATAATTTTTTTTTTTATTTCCATATTATGCCTAGATTAGATCAATTTAATTTAGATATATTTAAAAAGTATAAAATTTGTACAAAAAATTCTTAAAAAATCCATTGAATATAGAAAAATATGATAATGTATTGAATTTTTATATTTTTGTATTTGGTGAATTTAAAAAAAAAATACAAAATATTATACTTCTTAAATATATTTAGATTAGGTGTATCTAAAAAAAATGCTTAAAATATTTTTAAAAAATTAGTAAAAATAAATAAAAAATGAAAAAATAATAATAAAAAAAAAACTCAATTTTTGTGTGAGTTAAACTAAGGCCAAGTTTTGCAAGTTGCCAAAAAGTTAAAAAGTTACTCAAAAAGTTAAAAAGTTATCACTATTCATCAAAAGTAAAAAATAATGGCTGCACAACTTCCAATCCTAATTTTTCTCTACACACTAATTTATACAATTTTTTAATAGATATTTTTCTATAAAAAGTCAAAAAGTTAACCCAAACATCCATATTTTTCTCCTCAATTTTTTAGCCCAAAAAGACAAAAAGTGCACTTATTTAGGATACTCCAAACAACCCCTAAGTAGATGATTATTATTTTGTGCCTGGCTTTGGTCCAGTCCACTATTGGACTGGACTGTGTTGTTGGGCCCGTGGGGGTCCACCACGAGTCCCGTTTTGAAAATCTGAGCCGTTCAATGTGTAGAACTCGTCGATTACTATATGCCTGTGAAAAATCACTTTGATCGGATATCGATAGCTATGTGATCAAAACAGTTTTTTATCAACCGTTAATTTACTCACCGTCTATTTTTTTTATACAAAACTGATTTGATCACATAGCTATCGATATCCGATCAACATTATTTTCCACAGGTACATAGTACTCGACGATTTCTACACATTGAACGGTTCAGATTTTCAAAACGGGATCCGTGGTGAGCCCCCACGGGCCCAACAGAGGGTAAGTGTAATTTTTCAGATGTAAAAGAGAATCTGTGTTAAACAAAAACCTCAAGGGGTGTCAGTATAATTTACCCATTTTATTTAGTTGCAGGGTAATTACACTAACAACCCCTAAGGTTTCTGTTTAATACAAATCCTCTCTCACATTTGAAAAATTGCATTCTCTTCCCTGAGATTTATAATCTCATTACAAATTGTCCCCTAGAATGATGATGTCATGCCCTAAAACTTTTAAATGACCATCTTGCCATCTTTTCTACCATTTTTTTTCCTATCATCATGATTACTTTTTATAACTTTTCATCATTAAATTCTTTCTGAACATATTTTTGTTGAGTGATGATATATAAACATAAATTTTATATAGAATTTTTAAGCACAATGATATAGCTTAATGGTGATCTTTCACTTTAAAACAAAACAATCATAAACATTATTTATATTTACAACAATATCACTATCACAACATTTTTATGATATTTTTTTGTATAAATTTTTGTATATGAATATAATTTTTCATTCTTATTTCTACCATTACACCTAGATTAGATCAATTTAATCTAGATGTATTTAAAAAGTATAAAAATTATACAAAAAAACTTTTAAAAAAGTCATCGAATACAACAAAATAAGATAACGTATTGAATTTTTGTATTTTATGTATTTTTTTGGTATTTGGTGAATTTAAAAAAATCACAAAATATTATATTTCTTTAGTATATCTAGATTAGGTGTATCTAAAAAATAAAAATAAAAATTTGCTTCCAATATTAAAAAGATATTCAGTAAAAATAAAAAAAAATGAAAAAAAAAATACTCAATTTTTTGTGTGAGTTAAACCAAATAAGATAATTGTTATTTCTCTTGAAATGACAAGTGGTAG